AGCAATCTGGGGAGGGAGGGAGGGGGGCTGCGTGGCGGCTGGATGCGGGCGGCATGAATGCTTGGCTGGCTGGCCTGGATGGCTGGCTGGCCTGGGCTGGCTGGCTGGCTGGCTGGCTGGTGATGCCTGGCTGCCTGGCCTGGCTGGCCTGGGTGGCCTGCCTGCCTGCCTGGCTGGTGGGTGGTTGGGTGCGCCAGGTGCCTCTCCTGCGGCCGAGCCTAGGGCGCAGTGCACTCGTGTGTGTGCGCAAGCGCTGCGCGCCTGCTGGCCTGCCTGTCACGCACCGCCTGCCTACCCGCATCTACACACCGCACCACACACACACACACACACACACACACCTCCGTCCCCCCACCCACTGCAGTCTCCGTGCTGGGTGCCTCCAACATCCGCTTCACCAACTGTGCCTTTGGGGTCAACTGGGCAGATGGCATGGGTGGCGCGGGTGGGTGGCGCGGCCTGGGCCTGGCGGCCTGGCCTGGCCTGGCTCTGCGGGCTGGCCTGGTGGCAGCGTGTTGTGGTGGCTGTTAGCTAGCTATTGCTCGCCTGCCAAGGCCCCACACTCCACGCCCTACACTGTCTGCTGCCATGCCCTGCCCCTCACCCTGCCCCTCACCCTGCAGTCAAGACGGTCGGCGCCAACGTGACCTTCGCCAAGTCCACCTTCTACCAGAACAGGGTGGGCTGCGCTGGCGGCTGAGCTGGCGGGCTGAGCTGGCGGCGCCAGCCTGGCATCGCATCGCAGCCCCTGCCTCGCCCCGCGCTTGCCCCGCCCCCTCGGCAGCCCCGTGCCGCAGCCCCCACCCCCTTACCTTCCGCTTGGCTGCCCTCAGCCGCTCGGTGCGTGCACACGGCCGCACAAGAGGTTTTCAACCCGCCCCGCCCCGCCCCGCCCCGCCCTGTCCCTGTGCAGGCGTCCACAGGCGGCGCCATAGGCATGGGCCCTATGTCCAACATCGTGCTGCTTTCCACCAATTTCAGGTGTGTGCGGGGGTGTGGGGAGGTGGTGGGGCGCTTAACAGTGCGGCCGGTGGCGGCGGCGCTTTCTTCCCTCGTCATCATCACGTGATGGCGGGCGCAGGGAAGGCGGCGGCGCGCTGCCAGCGCACCCCCCCACACGCCTCGCCCTCACCGGCACGGCGGGCCCTGCCTGCCGCGCCCCCTCTCCCGCCCCACCCACCCCCTGCCTCTCCCTCCTCCTCGCTGTTGCTGGGCTGGTACTCATCCCCTGCCCTCCTGCCGCAGCGACAACCTGGCCTCCAAGTCCTCTGCCGACGGGCGCTGGGGGGACGACATCTTCATCGCCGCGCCGGGTGCGCACCCTGCTGGCCCTCCTTCCCTGTATCGTTGCCGGCCCTGTGTCACTGCCGGCCCTGCGCCTCTGCTGCCGCCCTGCGCCTCTGCTGCCCTGCGCCTCTGCCGGCGACCGGGGCACCCTGTTGTTTAGAGGACCCCGCCGCCGCTGCCGCCTGCCTCCCCTGCTTCTTGTCTCTCCCTCCTGCGCCCGTCCTCCCCTGTACCGTCCACCGGCCCTTCCTGCCCTCCACCACCACCACCCCTGCCCCTCCCCGCCCCTGTGCCGCCTGCCCTTCCTCGCCCTTCACCACTCCACCCCCACCCCCGCCCCACCCCTCCCTGCCTGCAGCCGGCTCCTCCATCGCGCTCAACCAGCTGCCACCAGAGTCGGTTGCCGCCATCTACCCGCGCGCCTCCAACACGCTGCAGTACAGCGTACCGCCTCCAGCCCCCGCCCCGCCGCCCATCTACGCACCGCCCTTCCAGGTGGGCTGGCCCCCGGCAGCGGCGGCCGGCAGGACACACCGACACCCGCCTGTTCACTGCCACAGCACAGCACAGCACAGCACAGCACAGCACAGCGCAGCAGCTGCGGGGGTGTGCCCGTGCAGGCGGCAGCCGCCCGGTGCCGTTGCCCGCCGCGCCGCGCTTCGCTCAGCGATCTTGCCCGCGCTGCCGCCGCCTCCCGTGCCTGCAGCGCCCTCCCTTCCCGGCGCCGGTGCCTCAGCCGCCCGCCCGCGTGCGCGCACCTCCTCCCAAGTGAGTCAGCCAGCCGCCTGCGCCGCCGCCGCGCCCGCCTCGCCTCGCCCTTGCCTTCGCCTCGCCTGCCGGGCACCCTCCCCGCTGCCGCCCACGGCGCGCCGCTGCCGTGGCGCGCATTCCGCGGGCTGCCCAGCAAACCCTGTGCTTCCCCGGCGCCGCTCCTCTTATGCACACCTGCCGCCCTCGGCTGCCTGCCGCAGCCCGCCCTCGCCGCCGCCGCGGCCGCCGCCGGGGCCTCCCACGCCGCCGCTGGGGCCCTACCTCAAGAGCACACCCATCATGTGGGCGCCCATCGTCCTCACGTGAGCCCACCCCCTGCCCCGCCCCTCTGCCCTGCCCTGCCCTGCCCTGCACCGCGCTGCCCTGCCGTGTGGCGCGTGGGCAGCGCAGCCGCCAGGCGCACGGCTTGCTAGGGAGGGAGCAGGCGCCGCGCCGAGCGCGCCGGGCTGCTGGCTGGACGGCCCGGCCAGCTTGCAGCCGTGCCTCGCCTGCCGCCACTTGAGTGCTCAGCAGCCAGATATGCTGCCCCCCGCGTGCCCCTGCGGCCGACATCATGCCCCGCCGCCTGCCCCCACCTGCTGCCTGCAGCGCCGGGCTGGTGGGCATGCTGCTCCTGTTCCTGCTGGCCCTCTGCTGCCACAAGCGCCTGCTGCCCAAGCTGGAGAAGGTGGGGCGCGGTTGGCGCCGGCTGCCGCTGGCTGCTGCTGCCGCCGCGTGCCGCCTCCGCGCGCATCCCGGCCCCGCTCTGTGCCAGCCTCGTCCGCGCAAGCTGCACAGCTCTGGGCCCCTGTCGTGCGTCCCAGGGCTGGCCCCCGCCTCCCCGCGCCTCAGCCCCGGGGAACTCTCGCCCGCCCCCGCCCTGCCACCGCGCCCCCTGCCGCTGTGCCACCGCACCCCTGCACCAGCCATTCACACGTGTACAGTACTGACAGAACGATGTTGATGCCTGCCTGCCCCCGGCGCCGCTGCCCCGCCCCTCCTGCTGGGCGTGCCCGCAGGGATGACGTGATGCGGGTGCATGCAGGGCTCAGCGCGGCGCTGCGTGCGGCGCTGCCCGACCGCGGCAGCTGGCTGCTCATCTGCTACAAGCCAGGTAGGGGAGCCTGAGGCTGCGCTGCACGCCCAGCCGGGACCAGCGCGCCACCGGTGCCACAGCTGGGCGCCCCACCAACCGACCGCCCCCGCACCCTTTCCTTTTCCATCGCTTCTGCCTGTCCTCTTCAGACATCTACACCACCCTGGGCATCTATCACGCTAGGCCGCAGACCAACCCCTGGAAGATCAAGCCCACCATCTTCGCCAAGAAGCTGTGACGACACCGCCATCACAACCGTAATGCCGGCTGCGGCGCATGCTGTGAGCTGACAACCACCTCCCCCTCGCACAAAAGCAGACCAGCCCAGCCATGCGTGACAGCGTCGGTGCCGCAGCCAAAGGTTTCGGTGAGTGCCTCCTCAACTTCCCACCTCGAACCCAACAGCATACATCTCCCGCCGTGATGAACAAATTGCCCGACAGGACGGCTGCCAGCCTGCATCTAAGCAATCCGCCGTGCACCTGCGCCGCCGCCGCCATGCATACCTAGGCTGTCGAGCAAGCCAGTGAAAATGCATGGTCCATTTACACGCGGAGAATGGCATGAGCTGCTGGAATAAAAGTGTTGCGGCAGCGCAGCCGAAAGCATCGGGGTGGTCGCAGGTGTAAACGAGGGGAAGCGCATTGGGTGGGAACCGAGACGCATCACGCGCGCGCCGAGCAGCGAATCAAAGAGAAAGGGGGAGCCCTGGATGGATGGGCTCTATTGCAAGAGCTGCCGGGGTGGGTGGCAACCAAGGCATGCAATACGCTGCGGGAAGAGAGGACGGGGGGTACTGCGGTACTGCAGAGAGCCTTGTGGTGTAGTGGCTGGGTACGTTTTGATGGGACTCGGGAGATGGCTCAGACGCACGGCTGGCTG